AGCCCCAGCACAAGCTTTTAACTGTGGCAACTTCAGTACGTCTTTTTGGAACTGGAATTACCACTTGCCTACCAAGGATTAAAAATTCAAAACTCCTATGACCTTCACCAAGCAGTTTATTTTTCTCCTTACCTTTTCAACTACAATTTTTATTCTCCTTTTTCCTATACCATATGTTCTGTTCCTTTTTTTTTTTTTTTTGCTGTTTAATTGTTTTGGGTATTTGGGATCACTTGAGATTCTGAGGTTTTTCTGCTTGTGTGGTAGGGAGTGAGTTGAATCTGTAAATGTGGGTAGTTTTTTTTTTTTTAAAGATTTATTTTTATTATTTTTTATTGGAAAGGCGGATATACAGAGAGGAGAGACAGAGAGGAAGATCTTCCATCCGATGATTCACTCCCCAAGTGAGCCGCAACGGGCCGATACTATGCCGATCCGAAGCCAGGAGCCTCTTCCGGGTCTCCCACGCGGGTGCAGGTTCCCAAAGCTTTGGGCCGTCCTCAACTGCTTTCCCAGGCCACAGGCAGGGAGCTGGAAGGGAAGCGGGGCTGCCGGGATTAGAACCGGCGCCCATATGGGATCCCGGGCGTGCAAGGCGAGGACTTAACCACTTGCGCCACCGCGCCGGGCCCAATGTGGGTAGTTTTGATAACATGTACATATGTTTATGCCTTTCATTTATTTACATATTTTTATTTCCTTTTTATAGTCTCTAGGATTTTCTGTATTGATAATCATATCACTTTTATATTTAAAAAACAATTTTACTTCTTTCTCCCTTTTCTTTCTCCCTTTTTCTTGTCCTGCTGCACTGACCGGGACCCTGCTTGGAAGAGCAATGTGTGTGCCACTCGTAAAGCTTGTATTCTGTGTGTTCAGCTTTTCTGAAACTTAAATTTTCCAAAATTTGTTTATAGAATTTTCCTTTTTTGGGCCCGGCGCGGTGGCGCAAGTGGTTAAGTCCTCACCTTGCACGCCCGGGATCCCATATGGGCGCCGGTTCTAATCCCGGCAGCCCCGCTTCCCTTCCAGCTCCCTGCCTGTGGCCTGGGAAAGCAGTTGAGGACAGCCCAAAGCCTTGGGACCCTGCACCCGCGTGGGAGACCCTGAAGAGGCTCCTGGCTTCGGATCGGCATAGTATCGACCCGTTGCGCTCACTTGGGGAGTGAATCATCGGACGGAAGATCTTCCTCTCTGTCTCTCCTCTCTGTATATCCGCCTTTCCAATAAAAAATAATAAAAATAAATCTTTAAAAAAAAAAAGAATTTTCCTTTTTTGCCTGATTGTTTTAAAACCGGCCACAGCCTTAATCTGTAAGATTTTGCCTTTCCCTCCTCCTCTGGTACCCCCCTCCTTGGTCTGCCCTTCATGGCCTGCTTCCTCCACAGTCCTGTACGGGTCGATACCATCCTGACACAGGTCCAGTAGCCAGCTGCTTCCACCATTTTGTCCTCAATCTCCTTTAGGCAAATGGAACACTGTTTCAAAGCTGTGGAAAGGAGAAAGAGAAGGCAGACTAGTGGGTGTGAGAGGCCCATTTGCGATGGGGACAGGTGCTGTGGGTTACACAGCTACTACGGTTGGGGGGGTGGAGCTGCCGGTGACTCAAGGGCACCTCCTGGGGCGGGAAGGACTAAGGCCACATTGGGCACGAGGGCACTCAGGAGCCTGCCAAAGATTGCTTTTTCAAAGATTAGCATGTTTTTTTTTTAATTGTTTTGTGGTCACTATTATTTTCCATGATATAGTTTTAGTGGATTCCTCCCTCCCTCGCCCCTTCCTCCTCCCATGTTTCCATCCTCCTACCACTTCACCACATTCTTCTCACAGTGGTACAGTCCTTTAGTGAGTTACATGTTTAGCATCCTGCTGTTTAAGTGTATCATGGCATTGTGGATACAAAGATAGAAAATCCAGTATGGTACAGTCAAGGTGGAGAGCCCTCCGTTAACTCAGGAGTTAGAGAGATTGCTGTTAGGTCCTCACCTGTTCTTTACAGGGCTCGTGCAGCTGGAGTCCTTTCCATTGACCTTTTTCCTGACCATCCATGCACTTTCATTTCCTCACACGGTAATTGTGTTACTGGATGTCACAGTTGGGTGAATGGTGTCGACTCGCAGATTAACTGCTTCTGGAGGCTTGTCTGTACCATGCTTTGGTGTTTCATGGCCTTGGTCCTGCTCGGAGGTCTCTGCGGCCCCGCATAGGGCTTCTGTGCTTTCTGCCTTTTCTGTCCTCTATAATTTAGCAGGACACCCACACCCAACTCTGTTTTACAGGCATGCAAGTCAAAGCCTTTTTTTTTTTTTTTTTTTGGCGTCAAACATTAGTTAGAGACTGACTCCTGGTAAAGGGGAGGCGATTGCACTTCATTCCCAGCGGTGCAGAGCTGCCTGGTGTATTAAAGGGAGGGCTGGGGGTGGCACAGCTCGAGTGGAGCATCAGAAGAGAGTGTAAGGTGTTAAGTGCAGTTATTCCAGCTCTGTGTGCTAGCCAGAAAGTGTGGCCATGGAGCACTCCCACAGAAACTGGGTGTGTGGCCCTTTCCTCCTTAGGGCTGGAAGGAATGGCTCCTGAATGGAGAGAAGTCTTCACAGCTGCAAATTTGCAAGCCACGTTGAGTGAAGTGCAGCAGATCAGGGCCTGTCACAGCTGTTTGCTAGAACAGTCCTGGCGTTGTTGAGCTTTCTCAGAAAGGCTTGCTTGCTTATTTATTTACCTGTTTTATTTAAGAGGTGGAGTGAGAAGGAGAGGGAGAGGAGTAGAGATCTGCTACCCGTTGGTTTGTTTCCCAAATGCCAGCCATTGCCAGGACTGAGTAGAAGCCAAAGCTGGTAGAAGGAACTCATTCCAGGCCTCCACATGGTGAGGCAGAATACGGCGTCATCAAGGCATCAGTGCTGCCTCCACGCTCTGCATTAGGATGCTGGAGTCAGGAGCTGGAGTGGGTATTGAACCTGAGATTTCTGCTGTGGGAGGCAGGGAGTGTCTTGACTTACAAGCCAGATGCCTGCTGCTTGGGTGTGCGCTCCAGTGAATGACTGCCGTCATCCTGGGACATGCCTCCTGCAGGAAGTGGAGGAGTGTGAAGGATTGAGTGGTATTACAAGCCCAGAGTTCTGGGTTTCTCCTGGGCAGCAACTAAAACTGTATGTTTCTCAGCCCTCCAGCTGCTGAGCTGCTCCATAGTCCTTTGGCATCTCCCCATTGCAGTCCAGCACCTGGTGAGGGTGGGGAGGGTTAGGGTTACGGTTACACAGACTTTAGAGCTCTCTTCTGTGGAAGTGTTTGGGAATTCCCGTCCCCCACCCCTTTCCACCTGCACTGGCAGCCCTTATTCCCCAGGGCACATTATGGCTTTCTGTGGAGTTGTCACTCAGTACCTGTGATCAGGGGAGAAATGTAACCATGGATCCCAACCAGGAGGTTCCTGTCGGAAGGATTGCCTCTCTAATATCTGCCACTTGTGGTAGCTCTTCACAGTGAGTTTGTGTTTCTCCAGGGTTTGTACTTGTGGCCTGTGGATGACTTACACGCTCTTCTGCCATTGCCAACACCAGAATGACTGATGTTCCTTATTTATTATCGGAATAATGAAGCATTCGGAAAAATAGGTTACTAAGATTAGCACTTCTATTGCTGCCACTGGTGCCTTGGACCCCAGGTCTTTGGGATGTTTCTGCTTCCAGGCCCCATTAATAAACAGAGTCATGTTATCAATTCAAATTTAACTTTTGATTTTATAGTTGTGTTTTTCCTCCAACAATAAAGATTTTAATTTCTAATTACAATAAATATGTAGGATATGTTTTAGAAAGTCAATTGAGTTTCAATCTCATTCCTTTTATTCCAATCTTCTTCTCTCCTATAGGTAATCATTTGTATTTCTTTTGTTTCATCTGCTGTCATTTAAAAAAAATTAGGAACAGACCATACTTATATTCATATCTATTTCTCTTTCTTGCAAAAAGCAGACTACTGAAAACATTGTTCATAATCTTTTATACATATGGATATTTTAATATATACATCTAATCCTTACTATACTATCACTATCTATACATGTACTTAAAAAATTTATTGGTAAAAGTGGAAAACTTTCACATACATCACAATGCAGAGTTAAGATACTACTGTTATTTCCCATCCTACCCTCCCTCATGCCTACATTCCACAGCCCCCCTCCTTCCTTTTTCATTTTTCTCTCCAGTTTTTAAATGACATGCTTTACTTTATTCTCAATCACAGTTTTAACTCTCCATTAGGTAAAGATCTCAACATAACAACAAAAAACCCAAAATGAAACAAACAAAACATCCTGTTCCTTGGGTGTGTAAACAGAGGCTATCAGATCTCTCAGTGGCAGATCCAGTGATCTCCTCTCAGTGGCAGATCCCATGCACACCAGTGGGTCCTTGGCCCAGATTGACTTTGTCTACCTCTTTCCCTGGCAGGGACAGTATTCTTGCCCAGCCAACGCCCTTTCAGGTTCTTGCTGTTGGGTGTTGCAGCCCAGCCACACCTGGTCCACACCTCTGGGTCTGCACCGCTCTGCCGTGGTTTGGCAGGAACCAAGACCTAGCCTATTCCATCCAACATCCACCTTGGCTCTTGCGAGCAGCAGTGGGTGCTGGAGTCTAGTCCAGTCTGGTGCTTTCCAGACCCTGTCCACATCCATGCCGATAGAGACTGCAGCCATGTCCAGCACAGCACAATGCGCCCATTCTGGCTCTCAAGCTCAGTGCTGGGAACCCCAACTTAGCTGGGGTGACTGTTGACCTCCCTAACCAGGCCTGTCTCCATCCACAGATCTTGCACAGGCCAGCAGAGATCGCAGTTTCACAGCAGTGAACCCACTTACCCCCCACAACACATTCTGCCCCCAGGCCTAATTCTCCCGTGTGTTGGTTAGTGTCATGATTTAGCCTAACATAAAATAAATCTGGGTTGCCCCCAGACCTAATGGCCAGCAGACTCAGAACTCCATCAGTGGCACACGATGACTCCACGCAAGCCCGATCTGGAGTCACCTCCTCTGCTGTCAGGTGCGCTGAGCAAGAGAATGCCCAGGCAGGCCCTATCCGGAGGGGCCCACTGCCACTGCCAGGTACACAGGGTCAAGGTTACTCCAGGCAGGCTGGATCTGGAGTTGCCTCTGCTGCCACAGAGTGCACAAAGCTGGAGATTCTTGAGTTAATGATTTCCAGCTCATTCCAACAATGTCAGAAAGATACATAGCATGATTTCAGTATTTTTTAGGATTTTTTTTTTTAATTGGAAAGGCAGATTTACAGAGAGGAGAGACAAAGAGAGATCTCAGATCTGCTATTTCAATCCCCAATGGCCGGAGCTATGCTGGTTCGAAGCCAGGAGCCTCCTACAGGTCTCCCATGTGTGTGCAGGGTCCCAAGGCTTCAGGCCATCCTCTCTACTCCTTTTCTAGGGCACACACAAGGAGCTGGATGGGAAATGTAGCAGCAGGACACGAACCAGTGCCTATGTGGCATGCCAGGACTGGCAGATTGAGGATTATTGAACCATCAAACCAATGCCAGGTCTGGCAGATTGAGGATTATTGAACCATCAAACCAATGCCAGGACTGGCAGATTGAGGATTGTTGAACCATCAAACCAATGCCAGGACTGGCAGATTGAGGATTGTTGAACCATCAAACCAATGCCTCAGCTTTTTTTTTTTTTTTTTTTTATTTGTGAAGGCTTGCTTTATGTTATAACAGGTGGTCATTTCTAGAGTAGGCTCCATGAATTGATGAGAAGCATTTGTATTCTGCATCCATGGAATGATATTCTGTAAATATCAATCAAGTCTGTTTGGTCCATGGTATATATTGGCTCTATTGTTTCTTTGTTGATTTTCTGTCTAGTCAGTTTGTCCAGTGATGAACGTAGGGTGTTGAAATCCCCCATTATTATTACATTAGAGTTTTTATTTCCTTTTAGACCATTAACAAATGTTTTATACAGCCAGGTGCCCCGGCACTGGGTGCATATACATTTACATATACATTTAATCATTATATAATGCCTGTCTTTGTATAGTTGTATTAAAGTCTGTTTGGTCTCATCTGAGCTACGATGGACTATGTCAATCTGTGGATTCTTCAAAGACCTCATAGTGCTTGGAGTGGCAAGATTGGCCGTGATTCATAACTGTTCAAATATCAAAACCACTTGAGCAAGAACCTCAGAGCATACCCTACATCTGGGACCTGGGGAGGGTGGGAAATTGGGTGGGCCTTCTCCCTTAATACCGCCCTTTAAACATGAAGGAAACTATATGGAAAAAATACTAGTCTTCCCCACTTTCCTGTAGCCTTTGAACCTTTTTACCCTAATTAACTATGTAAAGATTGTCAAAAAAAAAAAAAAAGTAAATAAGGAAAAAAAAAAAGTAAAGTCTGTTTGGTCTCATATTAGAATGGCTGCCTGGGCTTGTTTTTCTTTTCCTGTTGGCATGGAATATCTTTTTTCATTCTTTCATTTTCAGTCTGTTTGTAATACATGTTTGTTTAAGGCTATAGGAGATCAAGGGAAATCTATTTGCTTTTTGACTTGTAACACTTAATTGAGAATTATGTATTGCTTATATACTTTGGAATTTTGTCTTTGGTTCTTTGGTAAGAAAGCTTAAGACTTTGTTAGAATATTTAGAAAATATATGATTCTAAGGTTTGTTTGGCTTTAAAACAAGTTCTATATTGTTTCATTTATCTTTTAAAAATTTTGCAGGTTGAAGATCCAGATTGCTTCTGGGTTATTATAAAAGGCTACAGTACCTTTTTGGATCATGAAGTTGACTATCAAAAACTAAATAAAGCCATGAATGACTTCTACAACAGCATGTGTAAAGACATAGAAATAAAACCATTAATGTTGGAGGAAGGACAGGTATGTATCTAAATGTACTTTCGTTATGTCTTGAAATACTCACCAGGATGTAGGGGTGGAACTTTGTCTCGTGTTCAGTGTTAGACCTCTTGCCTTCCTGATTCTGACTTCCTGCTAATGCAGATCCCGGCAAGTGGCAGACAGCTGCAATCACTGGGTCCCTGTCACCTGTGTGAGAGGTGTGGACGGAGCTCCTAGCTCACCACCTTCACCTCCACGGCTGTGGGCCTCCAGCAACAACAGCACATGGGACTGTTTTTATTTGTCTCCTAAATAACTTTTTTCTTTAAAAAAAAGAGATTAATTTATTTTATTGGAAAGTTAGATTTACAGAGAGAAGGAGAGACAGAGGGAAAGACTTTCATCTGCTGGTTCACTCCTCAGGTGACCACAGTGGCTGGAGCTGAACTGATCTGAAGCTAGGAGCCAGGAGCCTTTTCTGGGTCTACCATGTGAGTGCAGGTCCCAAGGCTTTGGGCCGTCCTGCACTGCTTTCCCAGGCCACTAGCAGGGCCACTGGGATTAGAACCAGCGCCCATATGGGATCCCAGTGAATGCAAGGCAAAGGACTTCAGCCAGTAGGTTATTGTGCTGGGCCCCCTAAACACATTTTAAAATGTATTCTGGCAGCTAACATAATGCCATTAGTGTATTTTAGTATTTATGATTGATGCTTGTGTTAGGTTCTTTAATGGCATCAGAGTTGGTCTAGTGGAGGTGGGGGGCGGGGCTTGTGTCTGATCCCTGTGGGTCATTGTGATAGAATGTTATCCCAAGCCAGGTTATATGAGCCAGGGCATGTCCCTAGAGAAGCTCAACAAAGAAGGCCTGGAATTTTCATTTCTGGGCCCGCTTCTCCCTCTGGTTGTGCATGGTTTTGTCCAGCTCAGGGTTCTTTGTTCTCTGTACTGCATATTGGGTCCTACTTGCCTTCACACAGCCTCAGCTTCCACTACTGTTTTCTGATTTTCTCCCAGGTCAGCCATTTCATACACCTCTGTAAATGCACACTGGGGAAAGGTGTATAAACTTATTAAGAGGGAAACAAAATCTAACCTGAATTCCTTCACTCCTGCCCAAAAATACTGTTAAAGACTAATTCGTTGTTTCTCTATACCAGTGACTCACTGAAGGGATGAAATGGGGCCAGATGTCCTGTTAAAATAGTCCATATTTGGGAAAGTTTGATGACTTCCTTCAGGTGAATGTTTAATCAGGAGGTTTAACCTCTGTTCTTGAATTTATGTGGAGAGTGAGTTAGATATGAAATTCTATCATGTATTCTGTGAACTTCTCTCACTGATCTGAATTGGGAAATAGTACCTTATGGTGATGATCAAACGGACAGCTGGATTCAGAGGGCCGGCTTGATGTCTCTCTCATGGTGGAGTTGCGAGTGTTTCACCCTGTGAACTCTGTGCAGTGATCATAACTGCCTGGATCCATCGTCTTTTATTTTCAATATGGTGGTTTTTCCCATTCTGTAATCACAAGATGGAATTCTTCATTAGAACTTTCCTCTCAGAGCTGTCATGATGACTCAACAGGTTAATCTTTCAAACTAGCATGTATCGGATGCTATAGGTGTCGGTGTGTGTCCTGGCTGCTTCATTTCCCTTCCAGCTCCCTGCTTATGGTCTGGGAAAGCAGTGGAACCTGGCTCAGGTTCTTAGGACCTGCCACCTACATGGGAGACCTGGAGGAATCTCCTGGCTCTGGATTGAATTTTCAAAGGAAAATACATATTATGAAAAAACTATGCGTGATCTTCAAAAATAATTTTTAATTCTATTTTCTATGAATTGTTTTAAAGGTTTATTTCTTTTGTTTGAAAAAAAAGATTGAAGCAAGAGAGAGGTCATCTATCTGCTGGTTCACTCCCCAGATGGCTACAACAGCCTAAGCCAGACCAAAGCCAGAAGCCTCGTCTAAGTTCCCTTGTGCGTTAAAGGGGCTGAGACGCTTGGACCATTCTCTGCTGCTTTTTGTAGGCCACTAACAGGGAGCTGGTTCAGAAGTGGAGCAGCTAGGACAGGAACCAGTGCCCATATCGGATGCTGGTGTCAGACAGTGGCTTTCCTGGCTGTAGCACAACACCTGTCCCTTATTAACTCTGATTTAAAAGTTTAAAAATTATTTGGAAAGAAGAAGGAAAGAGGGAGTGGGAAGGAGGGAGGGAGATGGAGCTTGATCTTCCAGCCTCCAGCTCGCCTCTCAGACATCTGATGCAGTAGCAGCTAGGTTAGACCGAAGCAAGGGACTGGCAGGGTTTCCTGTTTGGGTGGCACAGATCACGTACAGCTTCCCGTGTTGTAGATTAACAGGAAACTGTGTAAGAAGTGGATCCGGGACTCAAACCCAAGCACTGTTATATGGGATGTGGGCATCTTAGCTGCTGCACCAATCTCTTAGCCCTCCATGAGCTCCCTGAAGTACCTTTATGTGTCAGGCAGTAGACTTGGTGCTGGGACTGTGACAGTAAAAGACAAACATCCACGTCATGGTGGAGTGGAGAGCCACCAGCTGTGGTAGAGTACGTAAGGGACGCTTGTTTCACAGCCATCTGTGGGCTTGGTTTCCTTCTAAACCAGAAAATGTCTGAGAGGCAGAGAAGGAGCAGGCAGCCCAACCCTCTACTGGCTCATTCCCCAAATACCTACAACAACTCTGTGCCAGAAACTGTGTGCTGGGCACTTAATCCAGGTCTGCCAAGTGGGTGGCAGCAACCCGACTGCTTGAGCCATCACCACTGCCTCCTGGGGGTGAGGGCATGGTATGGGTATGCATTAGCAGGAGGCCAGAGTCAGGAATGGACCCCAGGTCCTGAAATGTGAGAGGTGGGCACCCTCACCGTGGCTTTGCTGCTGGAGGGGAAAGCAATGCGTTGTCTTTGTTTTTCCTTCTAAAAAAATTGTCCCTGGTTAAGGAGTTCAGATGACTGTGAGATGAAAAACAACGAGGCAGGATCCAGGCTGCCGGTGTTTTCTCAGGGGCTCTCTTCCTGGGAGGCAGTACTCAGCTTGGACACTTTCCTGCACCCCTCTCATCTTGCTCAAGGCATGTGTAGACTGAGATGATTTGTAAGAGGAGCTTTTGGTGCTCCGATTATGTGCCTGGAGGTTTTTGATACTGAACGTCATCGATTGACACAGTTTGATACTGTCTCGTAGGTCTGCGTGGTTTATTGTCAGGAACTGAAGTGCTGGTGCAGGGCTGTCATTAAGTCCATCATGTCTTCAGCAGACCATTACCTGGCAGAGTGCTTCCTTGTGGATTTCGCCAAGTACATTCCAGTAAAATCTAGAAAGTACGTATGTGTGATCTGTTTGTTTGCCTCACCCTCTTTAATCCTCCGACTTGAAACGAGAATGTCAGTTTCTGAAGCAAGGTATTGACTTTTTTGGAGAAAAGAAGAAACAGGAGTTTTTGTGCCTCAAGAAATGAAAATGTGAAGCAGTCATTTGGTACAGTGGTTGAGCCACTGCACTGGAAGCTGCATCTCATGTGGGAGTGCCTGGATTTGAGTCCCAGCTCCCTGAGAGTGCACGCCCCCAGAGGCAGCAGAGGATGGCTCAAATGGTTGGGTCCCTGCCAGCCATGTGGGAGATGGGTCAGCATGGGTCAGCCTGGGTCAGCCTGGTAGCGTTTGAAAAATGAACCAGTGGGTAGGCTGTTTCTGTTTTTCCGTGTGTGTTTCTGTCTTTCAATACAAAGAAGGGAAGACTGCAGGTTTCCATTCGGTGTCCACCGGTGAGAGGAGCAAGTGATTCTAACGAAGATGCCGGGGGCAGCTCTGGCCCTTCTCCACCTACCTTGCCGCGATGGGGCCAGGGTCGGTTTCGGCTGTTCCCTCGGCCTCTCCTGGGTGTCCTTGGCCAGCTGTTCTTAGCTGTCCTCTCAGCTTGCGTGGATGGTGGGGCGAGTTCTTCAGTGCAGCCTGCCTGTGAAAAAGACACTACCAGGAGGTAGAGAGAAACTTGAGACTCCACAAAGGAGGGAGTTGATGGCCAACCTCGGGTGGCAGGGAACAGTGCCCACTCAGGTAGATAGTCCTCACAAAGTTAGGTGGAGGGACAGTTCAGGGTGAGCTGGTATCCATGGGGTGACGGTGAGCCTTCAGCACAACGCAGTGTTAGTGCTTTGTGATAGTTGTCTTAGAGAAAGAGGCTATCAGTTTAACAGATGAACTGAAGAAAAAGCAAGGCCAGGGGGACTTGAGTTCAGTAAGAGATGTCTCTTCCATGCAGGGGTTTGGGGGCGGAGGACATGCAGACACTTAAGGGAGAAGTTAGGTGCCTCCCAGCTTGGGAGTCTGCAGCTCTGTGACAGTTGCAGAGCTAGTTACTGTGTTTCACCATTTGGGGAGCTTTTCTTTTTATGTTTGGTATTTTGAGTGTGCTTTGGGCAAGAGAATTGGAGAGTTAAATACAGCTCTGCAGCCTCTGCTGTCTTTTAGGGAATATACCAGCTGGAAGCTGAAATAGGCTGAGAGCTGGAACCCAAGTGTTCTGACTCAGGATGAGGGTATCCCAACAGGAAATTGAAATGCAGTGTGTCTGTCCCTCCTTTCTTTCCTCTCTTCCTTGCTATTTATGATATGAAAGAGTGACCAAAAAGGGAGAGGAGAGATACAGAAATATTATCTCCCATCCCTTGGTTCACTCCCCCAGGACTGCAAACAGCCTGCTGACACCAGGAGCCTGCAGCTACATCTGGTCTCTCCATGTGGGTGACAGACCACCTTCTGTCGGGCCACCTTCTGCAGCTTTCTCAGCTAGGCTCCAACTGGTACTTAGGTGGACCCTGGCATCACGAGGGGTGGCCACTTAAGGGGCCACAAGGCTAGCTGCACAGCATTTCTTCACGTGAGGAGTCACCTCAGATACATTTTTCCCCTTAAATTCCTGCCCCCATGCCGTGGAATTTTAGTGCTGCAGGTACTCTGAATGACTATGTGGTATATTCCCACTTTGAATAGAAAGATTTTTTCCCCTGTCCTTCAGGAACCTATGCTTGTCCACTTGGCCAGATGACCCCAAGCACTGTTGTAGACTGTGTTAGAATCAGAAATTGCTGGTTATTGTTTGTTTTATAGAAAATATGCTCATTATCTATGGGTGAACTCTAAAGGAGGGTTTTCTGTCACATGTCTGTTTACAATGGAAATATTTCTGCTTCCTTTGTAAGCATCCGAGTTGCAGTGGAATCCTTTATGCAGCTTCCCTACAGAGCAAAAAAATTCCGACTGTACTGCACGAAGCCTGTTACATTACACATTGACTTCTGCGAGGACAGCACCGAGTTTGTGTAAGTACAGGTTCTGAAGTGGCCTTCAGTTCAGGTCTGCGTTCGTGTGCCATCCTGGCCTATGGAAGGGTGAGCAGGGCTTGAGGCTCTTGGGTTATGCTGGAGATAGTCTCTGGGGAAACACTGGGCCAATGTGGCAGATTCCTGGGCACCACCTCCCCCAGGGCTGTCAGTGAGGGGGCTTTGCATGGGCCCCGAGTGCTGTGCCTTTCACTTAAAAAAAAACTTATAAAAAGAAGTAAAGAAGAATTTTTATAAAACACAACTGGGGGACTGTTTATAAGAAGTCTCCTGCATCCCTCTGTCCCCTGTCCTTCCTCTGTGGCCTGTGCAGCTGCAGGATTCTTACCCTCTGTGGGTGATGTGCGCACGCTGTGAGCCTGGGTCCCACCTCCCTTGGTGTGCTCACACACGCTGAGCCTGAATCCTGCACTCCCTCGGTGTGCTTCTGCACTGTGAGCACCTTGTTGGGAAGAGGAAAGAGACTCCCATTTTAAGAATTAACTAACAAGTAGTGCTGGAAGTGCTTTGCAAGTCATTTCTTTTTCCTTGCCACTTCCAGTCTTTTTCACGCATACCAGTGACTGCTGTGCTTTCTGTGTTAACCAGTCACATCTTAATAGCTAGGTTTCAAGCCATTTTGTGCTATTCATTTCCATACTAATGCAGGTAAATCCTCATAAAACCTGTAACTGCTGAGAGGTGTACACACACACACACACACACATACACACACACACACAGCAACTTTTTCCTGGTATTTAGCCACTGCAGGTGTTTGCCCAGAGTGGGTCCTTGTACGAGATGGTGCTCTGCTGGGCAGTGGTGTGGTCGCTGCTCCTTGGGGAGCACCACCAGGGGCTTGACTTAGGCTTCTGTGTTGTGTGGGCAGCCACCTCCCACCTGCAGCTCCTCTGGGTCTTTCTCCTGGAGCGTGGTGTCAGTGATACAAGAGGCCAGTGGGAGCAGTCAGTGAAGACTCCATTTGCACAGCCTGGCAATGCTGTATTGTGCTTCCTGAACTTAGAAGCTGCCTCTTTTGTGGGTGCCCTATGGTTTCTTTGGAGACCCTGTTCTCCTCTCCCCACCATCTTCATCACCACAGTTCTCTTGCAGGGTGAATGCATCTCTCCTGGAGCTAGCCTCAGAGTTGTTCTAATCAGCCAGCTGTCTCTGCTTGGCTCAGTGTGCCCCACCAGACTGCTGTCCAGATAGCCTGCCCTCCAGCCAGCCCATTCCATGCTTACACACTGTGTCCTTGGGAGGCCAAGATCAGACAGAGAAGCTCCTCTGCTAAGTCCTGGAACAGCCAGCTGCAGGCCATCGAGGGGTGGTTTGGGCACCAGCCTGTGATGCCCAGCTCTGTCCCTGGACTTCTCACTCCCTTGTTGCAGGGCTCTCTTCCCAGAATTAAGGAGGCCTTTTGCATCCTGGGGTAGACCTTGTCCAACCCCAGCCTGCCCCTTGGTGAAGGACTTAAGAGTAAGTTTTGTTTTGTTTTTTAAATAAGGACATTGGGTCCTCTCAGGTTGCTTCTCCTTGTTTTTATGATTTAGCTTTATTTGGAAGAATTGCGGGAGGGAGAAACACAACGATTTTCCATTTGTTGGTTTACTCAGATGACTGTGACAGTCAGAAGCTGTGATTGTTGAGATTGACTCAGGCCAAAGCCAGGAGCCTGGAACTCCATCCAGGTCTCCCTCATCTATAGCAGGCGGCTAGGATTATCAGCAGCAGTAACTAGATTGGGAGTGGAGGAGCTGGGACTTGAACCACTGTCTATGGGGGTGCCAGTATCCCAGGTGGCAGCTTTCACTGTGCCACACCACCAGGTTTCACCACTTTATTTGCACTCACTATTATCAGGAATAGTTTTAATTATGTGTATTATGATTTGTGATAGTTTGTCAGACTAGCAAAAAAGACTCAGTTTTTACTGTCATTGGGATATCTTTTCCCATTCAGCATCACTGATAGGCTTTTGAATCTCTGCTTGTCTGCAGTGGTCCTTTTCAACTTGTGTTTTTCTAACTTGCAAACTTGGGTTTTAGGTGTATGCTTACATGTGTGTGTGTTAGTGTGTGTTTATGGAGAGAGAGAGAGATTTATCTGTTCATATTTTAGATTGGTTTTTCTCTGCAGTTGTTTGCACTTGTTAGGAATCTACTGCATTTTGTTAAGAAAAGTACAGGCATTTTCAGAACTACTATGTTTTGCTGCATCCTTTTATAAACCCTTTGTAACTTTTTAAAGATTTATTTATCTCAGAGTTATGTAGAGAGGGGAGGAGAGACAGAGATCTTCCCTCCAGATGGCCTCAGTGACTAAGGATGGGTCACCCCAAAGCCAGGATCTTCAACCACATCTCTGAGTGGGGTGGCAGAGGCCCAAGAACGCGTGTCATTCTCTGCTGCTCTTCCCAGTGAACAGCGGGGAGCTGAGATGGAAATGGAGCAGCTTAGGACATGAACTGGTCCCCAGTGGGGTGCCAGCTTTGTAGGTAGTGGTTCTACCCACTGTGCCACAACACCAGACCCTGTAATTGTCTAGAAGTAATGAACACGATGTCTTTCATGGGAAAGGTGGAAACAGCTAGTACTTTTGAACATAGGTTCTGTCCCTCCACGGGCTGAGTGTTTTCTCTACTTTTCTTCATTTGAGCATGACACAGTAGGTTAATCAGGGCTTAGGATCCTGTGTTCTCACACTGGAGTGTTTGGTTTGAGTCCTGGCTGCTCCACTCCCAGTTCAGCTTTCTGCTGAGGCACCTGGGACACAGCAGATGGTGGATCAGATGTTTGAGTCCCTGCCATGCTGGGGAGGGCCCTGAATGGGGCTCCTGGCTCCTGGCCTCATCATGGCCCAGGCCGTGGAGAATAACCAGTGGATAGAAGTGATGTTAGTATACTAGTCTTGGGTTTTTATCTAATGAAGTTGCCCGTTCACTGTTTCAGACCTGCCAAGAAGTGGGACAGTGCTGCTATCCAGTACTTCCAGAATATTCTGAAAGGTAAGCTGGTGTGTATCTTGGCAGCCTCTGCTAGGACAGGATTGGCCATGTGTGACCCTCCTCAGAGGTTTTCCTGGTTCACCTGGGGCTGCTTCAGACACCTGAAGCAGTGCTTGGGCACACCTGCAGCCTGGCAGGTGAATGTGGGCATCAGTAATTGACAGCCAAAGTGAGGAAGGGGTTTTGTGTGGAGGAAGACCTGCGTGGTAATAATGTCTGCCCCTTAGTCTGCGGAAAAGCTGCAGTGCTGCAGGCAAATAGCTGTGGATTTCATTGGGACAGCAATTGTGGAAAAGCCTTGATATTTTCAGTGAGCAAGACTGTACTAAGTTGATGTTTGTTAGCTAATAAACAGTTTGACAGCCTGTGTAATGGGCTGTCTTTTTCATGTCAGGGGCTATAACATAGTCTGTTTTTGTGGTGTCTCTTCTAAACTCTTGTAGTCAGGGGTCTGGTGATTGACTGTGCCTGTCTCTTAAGGCTGTCCAGAAGAGTTAGGGGGTGTGTAATGCCTGTGGGGCTGTCTGGCATGTCATTGGGTCCTGCCCTATCCGGGGCTACCCTCATTGGAGAAAGGGAAAGCCACAGGCCTTGAACTTGGGAAGGAGTAGATTAGAAGGGTCACTAGATTTGGGATTTGGACCTTGGGGGTCCTCTGGGGCTTCTGGAAAATGAATGGACGGCCGTTTGGAGAGCCAGGAAGTACCCTGGAGAGGAGGCCTTTGTCGGGTGGCGGGAGGATGCTGCAGGCGAGACAGAGGGCTCGTGACTCAGCGCACAGGCGAAGGCTGTGGCCGTTTTGGGGCTGGATGCTCTTCCGTGGTTGGCAGAAGATAGCAGGTGGGAAGGACCGCAGTGTTCGCAGCTGATTTGGGTTTTCCTTTGTGCCGTCTAGCAACCACCCAGGTGGAAGCCAAACTGTGTGCTGTGGAAGAAGATACTTTTGAGGTTTACCTTTACGTAACTATAAAAAATGAAAAAGTAAGTCATATTTTAAACTATTTAAAATTTTGCTTTTAGTAAAACAATGACTAACTAGCATGGAAAGCAGTGTAATTCATGCAGCGTCGCAATCTTAATCTTTCAGTGTTTTAAGTCCGAAGTTAGCCAGGACTGTGTAGTTTGTTTCGATTACTTTAAAAAGTGACTTCATTTTATTTAGTGATGGGCAAAAATTCTTTGTTGTGGTGTTGATTCACTGCCTTTCCCTGCTCTGGGGTTTGCTCACCGTGTGTGCTTTGTGGCCACGTAAGTGCAGAGAACACGGACAGCACATGTGAGCCACCTGCAGATCTGCTGCTGTGTAGCCCAGCTCTGCACCTGGGAGGTGTGACAAGTTCTGGGCGTCCTGGAGCTGACAGGGGTGCCTGCCTCATTAACTGAATTTTTAAAAACTTTGATATGATTTTAAACTTTCAGAGGAGCAGTGAAAAAAAAAATGGTGTGGAGATTTTTGTTGCTGCTGTACCTGGTTTTCTTCATGTTAGCCTTGTACGGAGCTGGACTGTGGTCATTACAATGAGAATATCATGGGTAAATATCATTGAAGAGTCCATTGGCCGTAATTGAATGTTGCGGTCTCCCCACTAATTTTGTTCTCTGACCCAGAGTCCTGCATGTCTCTGATTGTCCTCTCTAGTTGGTCTCCTATGGTTCCGGGAGAGCCCTTCCATCTGCCTTCTGCCCTCATGACCCTGACACTTGCGAGGAGTACTGGGCAGCCGTCAGAGCATTCTTCACCTGGTCAGAGGGAGCTGTGTGTGAGTTGGCAGTGGTATAGCAGTGATGGTGACCGTGAGCTTCTCAGTTCCTCACCTGCAGGAGCTGCAGCTGTTTGTGGCTTTGGTCACTAGTGGCCTTCATGTTGGTCACCTGGGTAATGTGATGCTTGCCAGGTTTTCCCTTGTAAAGAACTGCCGTTTTTCCTTTTGAAACTAGTGTCTCCCATGGAGAAGCTAAGCAGATGCCTGTCACTCAGTCTTGCTGCTGTGGGATTTACGTTTTCCATCATTCCCTCTGCAGTTTGAAAACTTTTTGTTTAAAAGGGCAGAGAGGCTGAGGTCTTCAGTATGCTGGTTCACTTGTGAAATGCTGGCATTGGCCAAGCCCGGACCAGGCCGAAGCCAGGCGCCAGGTGCCAGGAACTCGATCTCGGTCTCTTGTGTGGGTGAATGGGAATCAGACACTTGAGCCATCATTGGGTGCCTCCCGAGGTCTGTGTTAGCTGGAAGCTGAATGGCAAGCAGAGCTGGGATTCAAACCTAGCATTTTGACATGAGGTATAGGCCTCCCAAGCAATGCATTGGTTAGCCACTGCACCAAAGGCTTGCCCTTACATTTTTAATTACAATTGTATATTTTAAAAAACTATCCCTTCTTCCCCACTTATGAAGTTAATCAGCAGTTTCCATTAATATGCCCTTTGGTTTATTTGTTTTGTTTTGAGGGAGATAATCTCCCCAAATTCTTATTACTGTCCCACTCAATTATCTCAGGCTGGGCCCGTGTGAGATTCTTTAAAGTGACTTACGTCTTCCTTCAGCGTGACCCCTCACTGTTTGCTTCCTGGTGCCACAAAATGCCCCAGGACCATTTTGTCATTTTCTAGACTCAGCCCTGTAATCAGCCACTTCTTCAAGAAGCTCTTGTGTCTTTAGTTAAAACGCGATATTTAGGTACTGAGACAAGGGCATCAGGTGTGCCTACTCCTCCTGGGATGTCATTGACGGTCCATCCTCAGCAGAAACAGGAACACGAGTACACACACACAGACATACCCACATGCTTAATCTACACACATGCTTAATCTTTCTTCCTGCTCTGTTCATCCACACCTGTGTTAAGGACCGTGATCCTTCTGATTTCAGTCTAGTAACCATGGGGTTCATTCTGACCCTCCCCTTTCTCTATTCTTTTTACTAATATTTACTTCATTTGTTTGAAATGCAGTGACAGGGATAGAGGGAGAGATCGAAAGATCTTCCATCTGCTGGCTTGCTCCCCACATGACCACTATGGCCACACTGAAGTCAGAAGCTAGGAACTTTATCTCACCCTCCTACCAGGGTGAAAGTGGCTCAAGCACTAGGGCCATCGCGAGGGCCCATTAGCAAGGAGCCAGATTGGAAACAGAACAGTTGGGACTTGAACCAGGTCTCTAGTACGGGGTGGTGACATCTGCAGATTGTGGCTTAGTTCACTGTGCCACGTACCTATCCTTGTTCCTGACACTTCACTCCTACAGCGAGAAATATTTTCTAATTTGTCACAGTATGCTTACCTGAGTCACATGAAATTTTTTTCAGAAATGTAAACATTGCTATAAGAAAGAGATTTGTCTTCAGCCTACCATATACAGACAAAATATTATTGTAAAAGTTAATTTGCATCACTGTTTTTTCTTTCTGTTCATTTTGAGTTTTGAGTTTTTGTTTTTTTTATTACAAAGTCAGATATACATTTTTTATTACAAAGTCAGATATACAGAGAGGAGGAAAGAGAGAGGAAGATCTTCCATCTGATGATTCACTCCCCAGGTGGCCGCAATGGCCAGAGCTGGGCTGATCCGAAGCCAGGAACCAGGAACGTCTTCCAGGTCTCCCACGCGGGTGCAGGGTCCCAAAGCTTTGGGCTTTCCCAGGCCACAAGCAGGGAGCTGGATGGGAAGTGGGGCTGCCGGGACTAGAACTGGCACCCATATGGGATCCCGGCGCATTCAAGGCGAGGACTTTAGCTGCTAGGCCATGCCGCCGGGCCTGAGTTTTGCATTTTCTACATTCTGGTTGATTTTACCTATGATTTTTTTCATTGCTTATGTCACAGTTCAGTAAAAAAAAAAAAACAAAACCACCACTTAATTGTTGGTCATAAGGGCCAGCCTTGTAAGACGTCTTTATTCCTAAAAGCCTCTTTTGACCTCTTCATTCAGGGTTATATAAAAAAATAAATTTCTTTCTCACTGCCTGGATTGGTGTGCTGAGAAGATTTGCGCTGACTGAAGGCTGAGAGGTCCTTGTTTAGCTGAGGGAGGGTTTAAAATGGACACATGAGGTCATAATTGCCAGAGAAAGAGGATTAGGGCCAATAATCCTCCTCAGGCTCGTAAAGGGTGTTGTGTTTTTTTGGCCTGGCATCTTTCCTTCAGCAAAGTGCTTGTTGCACCTGTCAGTGGTCAGCTCGGCACCTCATCAAGTCCTGTGCTGTAGGGATGTGATACAGTGTATTTCTCCATCTGTTTATTGCTGCACCCTTTAGTTGGGGCCAGTTGGGCTGTTACCAATATTCATGTACAAGTCTTCAGTTAACCTGTGTTTTCATTGTTCTTAGGTAAATACCTAGAATGCTATTTAGGGTTAGTTCTGGATAATGCTGGAAATTATAATAAACTGCCAACCTGTTTTCCAAAGTTGATCATTTTAATTCCCGTCAGCAGTGTATAGGATTCCAATTTCTTTGCATTGTTTTTGTTTTAAAGATCTATTTACTTCTCTATTAATTTATTTAAGAGAAACAGGGGACGGAATGAATGCAAGCTTCCATTGATTGATTCCCCAGAAGGCCACAGCATCCAAGACTGGGCCAGGCTGAAGCCAGGAGTCTGGAATCTTTTCCAGATCTCCCATGGGGCTGGCAGGGATCAGAGCTCTTGGACTGTCCTTTGCTGCCTTCCGGGGGAACTTATCAAGGGACTGGTTTGGAAACAGGAGCTAAGACTTTAACTGTTACCTAGATGGGATGCTGGGGATGCCACTGTGACTGCCCCTCTCTATGCTCATTCTGATCAAAGTGTCATAGTGATTCTCAGAGGTTTAAATTGTGTTTGCCTAAAAAGCAAGTGATGTATTCGTATGCTTACCTACCATCCTGTGTCTTCTTCGGTAGCTCATTTTTGCCCATATGTAATTGGGAGGGTTTTTTTTCATTGAGATTTAGAAAGATCCATGTTCTCTGTGTGTGTTGAGTTTCTGATGAGATACTATTTGTCAGCCTTCCTTTACTGTGAGTGCTTTGTCCTGGCTGGGTGGGGATAGCACCCCAGTGCCTTTGTGAGGATTGTATTCCGTGCAGATCATTGCTGCTTCATTGGCAGAGCGTTGGGGAGAAGTAGTTAGTTTATCATCACCACAGCAGGAATCCTGAGATCTGCTTCCACCAAATTAGGCTCTATAAAATCATTTTGCTGAAGATAATAATTTGTGCTTAAGTCTGAAATGCTTTCTTCAGTCACGTGACAGTATTTATCTTACCATCTGTGAAATATGTCACATCCTGCAGGTTTGCGTTAACGACGACCTGGTTGCAAAGAACTTTGCATGTTATGCATCACCCAAGGAGAGTAGGAACTTGGATTCTGCAGAGGAACCTCAATTCAACGTGAAGTCTGCACCTTTCTCCAGTAAACTCAACCCAGCACTTACGCTTTGGCCAATGCTTTTGCAAGGAAAAAGTTTCCAAGGACCAGAAAGTGAGTGGATTCTTACCAAAATGTATCTTAAATTGCTTTATGATCTTGCTATATTGGTTATGGAAACCTTGCCCCACATGGAGACAGACTTGTACTCTGTTTAATGCTTAAAGTTTAATCCTGATGAATCTGCTACAGATGTTGAGGTTTTAAACCTGTTACTGTGTGTTTATGTGAGACCAGGAAGAAATAATTCTTATTTTTGCATCCTGAGCTTTCAGAAGTCCAAATGTCTATAGCATAAAGCTGTTAACAAAATAAGTTGTTGAATAAAAGTTTTAGATGCATTTAAAAATATTTATTCGAAATATTTCTGAATATGGAATTTTTCCCATGCTTATGAAATATGGAATCAGAAATAGGGAAATCTTTTAGCTGCTGATTCACTCCCCAAATGGTCAAAAGGGGCAATGCTGGGCCAGGCCAAAGCCAGGAGCCTGGAACTCCATCAGGGTCTCCAATGTGGGAGACCACGTGGGGTGGCAGGACCCAAGTATTCGAGCCATTTTTCGCTACCCTCTCAAGTGTATCTTGGGAAGCTAGATAGGAAGAGGAGTAACTGAGACTTGAATTGGCAGTCTGTGTAACGAGTAGCCGCTTAACCCTCTGTGCCACACCACTGGCCCCAATTTTAGGCATTTATATTATTTATTTTTAAATATTTATTTGAAAGGAAGAGTGAGAGAGAGGGAAAAGCAGAGAGCATGATCTTCCATCAGCTGTTTGACCATTAGATAATGGCTGCAACAACCAGACCTGGTCCAGGCTGAAGCCAGAAGCCTGGAGCTCCATTTGAGTCTCCCACATGGATGACAGGCCCCAAGCACATAGACCATCCTTCGCTGCCTTCCCTGGGCACAGTAACAGAGAGCTGGATTGGGAGAAGGGCAGCTGGTACTTGAACTGTCACTGTGGCACGGTTTGTCAGTATTGGAAGTACCAGCTTAGTTCACTGTGCTGCAACGCTTGTGCCATAGACAGTTTATTTTTAAAATTTTATTTATTTATTTGAAATGTTAACAGAGAGGGGCGGGTATTTGATCTCCTGGTTCACTCCCCAAATGACCTCAGTGGCCAGAGCTGGGCCAGGCTGAAGCCAGGACCCAGGAGATTCTGACAAGTCTTCCACGTAGGTACAGGGCCCAAACATTTGGTACATTTGCTGCTCATTTCCCAGGTGCATTTTTCAGGGAGCTGCATTGAAAGCAGAGCAGCCATGCCTGGAGCCAACATACATTTGCTCTGCCAGAGTCACAGGCAGTGACTTTATTGGCTATATCACAACAATACGGTGCCCTACTACCCTGACACCATTGGAATGACCCTGTACATAAGGTTTGAGAAGTGTTGGTTATGGCCACTCAGATTCCTGTGTCTACTCAGGAGCACATCAGAGCACAGACAAGAGCAGGCCATGTAATTTAATGTTTCCTTTGTGTCTTGAAGTTAAATGCATCCTTTCAACCAGATTTGCATGGTTTCCATTTGCTGGCACAGTCTCTACAGCATACGTGGTTGGTGCAAGGATGTTACTAGTGACCTGTAGCCAACTGCCATAATACTGGGTGTGTTCTATTAGTTTGGCTGGTAATCTACAGATTGTGAAGGCTGATTAGAGGTTTGTAGGTTTCTATATCATTCGAAATGGAATCAGCCATGATGTAGACACCATTGGTGGTAACTGGCCCAGACAGAGGTTTTACCATAACAGGGAACAAGCAGGCTTGTTTGTGTGTGGTGTGGGTTGATTTCAGCCTGACCTAGGCCAGTGGTTAGCATGTGTTCTCAGTGTACAAAGGCGTCTGTGAGTGAGTTTTACTTTAAACAATGACATGTAGGCCGTGAAGAAAACACAGAAAAGGATTCCCAATTTTAAGCTTAATGTTTTGTAGATATTTGATGAACCAGGGTGTTAGCCGTGGGTGAAATCTGTTTCCTATAAGAGCCAAGGGCCAGATTGCGATGTAAAGTTGGAAGCTAGGAACTCAGTCTTGGTTCCCATATGTGTGGTAGGAACCTAATTACGTAAGCATCACAGCTGCCTCCCAGGGTGCACATTAACAGGAACCTGGTGTCAGGAGCCTAAGTCAGATATTGAACCCGGCCACTCAACTACTAGGCCAAATGCCTGCTCTGCCTTATATATTGTTAAACCAAAGAGTAATGTTTTGCTAATAGCTGGTTCAATGACTAGCACAGAAGGGCTGTCTGTAATAGTGATTTTCTCCTGTTCATTCTTGTCTCATCCTCAGCTGTTTCCCATAGATAACTCTATTTTAAAGCTCTTTAGTTTGATACCTAGCTCTGAATGTTAACAATAATTACATAAGTGTGTGTGTGTGTGTGTGTGTGTGTGTATGTAATTACTGTTTCAGGCTTGTCAGTTTTAGACTGTGTTAAATTGTGTGGCATGTAAGCTCCTGTCCAGTTACTTGCTCCTCAGCCCTTTGTGGTATAGTTAGCTGCTTCTTTGCACTGTACATCCGTCTTCTCAGTAAGATTACTCTATAATGGTCCCCAGCGCATGCATGCACACATGCACACACACACACACACCACTCAGTAGTAAGTTGCTGCTGTGAGGTCTGTTGTTCCCTAATATCTGAGTGTATTGCCATGAGATAGGGACACTGTCCAAATGTTCACAGCAGTCATCAGAACTGGAGTGCTATTAGATTTGTTTTTATTGAAAAGACAGTTACAAAGAGAAGGCGAGTCAAAGAGAAAGATCATTCACTTGCTGGTTCACTCACCAAATGGGGCCAGAGCTGGACTGGTCTGAAACTGAGAGCCAGGAGCTTCTTCCTGTGTCTCACACCCAGATGCAGGGACCCGAGGATGTGAGTCAGCTTCTGCTGCCTTCCCAGGCCATAAGCAGGGAGCTGGATTGGAAGTGGAACAGCCAGGACATATGGGATGCCGGCACTTGAGGGTGGCGGGTTAGACTTAACAGGGACGTTTGTGTGCGGTGGAGGTGCGGTTGGGAGCTCCACGCTGGTGCTTGTGTTGTTGCGTCCTGCTGTGGCCGCCATCACTCTGCAGGTTTGCGGGCTGCTGAGCCGAGGAGGTGCCCACCACAGCACCTCAGCAGCCCGTGCGGCTCGGCTTGGGGCCGGGCAGGAGGGGTGGGTGAGCACTTGTTGGAGGGTCTCCCGCATGCGGGCAGGCGCGAGTACAGGAAGTGGGGACGGCTGGGCAGCTGCCTGGGAGATGTCTGTGCTAGTGCGCTGCGGCAGCCCTGGCGGTCAGGGAGGAGCTGAAGCAGGCCAAGGAGCTCAAGGACGCTGAGAAGTACTCATTCATGGCCATGGTCACCAAGGCACCCAAGAAGCAAATCCAGTTTGTCAATGAGTTCAAGTTCTTTACCAAGACGGGCTGAAGGTCTCTGTCTCGCTCCATCTCACAGCCCTCCACTGACAGCTACGTGCAGCTCACCTGCACCCTACGTGGACAGCTATGATGATGAGATCCTCCCTAACCTTGGGGGAGTAAACAGCAGACCAACTCTAAGGGCAGCAGCAACTTTCTTGTGAAGAACATCAAGCAAGTGGAATTTGGATGTTGAGAGATAGGGACTGCAGAGGAAGACGGGCCTGCTTTGATATCACTCAGAAGCTGTGCCTGGGGAGAAGTCCTTAGCTGGTGCTGAAGTACTGGGCTGTATGCACATCACATCCCAGACAGCAGTGTGGATGGAAACATCCTGTGCCCTGGGGTCCAGTGCCACTAGTCAGCTTGTGACTTCTACTCAACTCAGAATGAGGTGGCTGCCGCCCTGTTGGAGGTTGGAGTCGTAGGGTCTGCTTGGAAGGGCGAGGTGGAAGATGACTTCTAGTGGTGTATTGATGGCTGCGGGAACATAGATGGGTGGCAGGCCAACAAGATCCTAAATGATGAAGGAAACGTAACCCACTGGGTTTATAAGAAGTATACAAGCGTGTTTAAGAAGATCCGAGGCATTGTGGGGAGAGCCTGACTGGTACTCACTGGCTGTGTCAGCTCTCCAAGGCTGGGAAGTGCTGCGTTCCAGCCATGAATGTCAACGATTCTGTTTCCTAACAGAAATGTGATAACTTGTCCTGCTGCCAAGAATCCATGCTACACGGCGTGAAGAGGAACACAGATGTGATGTTTGGTGGGAGTCGAATGGTGGTGTGTGGCTCTGGTGAGGGGGAAGAGGTGGGGCCGCTGGGCTGCTCTCAAGACCTTGAAATGATTGTCTGCATCCCAGAAATCAACCCCTCCTGTGCCTGCCTGAATAGGTTCAGGGTGGCGAAGCTAAAGGAAGTCATCCGGCAGGGTGATGTAATAGCTTACTCAGGAAATTAGAATGTGATAACATGGGAGCACCTGGACCACATGATAAACAGTTGCATTGTGTGCGACAGGGGCCACTCTAACACTGAAATCAATGTCACCAGCCTCTGCATTCTTAAGCTGAACTGGGAGCCAGTGTGTTCCCAGGTAGACCATTTTTGAGGACATCAGTCTTAAGTTGGTACCTTACTAACAGGAAATGCTAAGGTACTTTGTGTGGGGAACAATCTGCAATGTCTGAGTTGCCATGTCTTAGCAGCTGTGGTCAGTGTTCATCCACTTCCTCAGAGGGGCGGGGATGGCACCCACCAGCCAGGTAGGTCAGTTATAGAGGGTGCGTGTTCATTTCCCTTAGAAGTCCCAAGTGTTGTTTTCTGAGTCAGAGATGTGTAACGAGTGAGTATTGCTTGCTGAGATCTAGGAGGCTCACTGGGATTTACCGTAGAACCATTCCATCACGTCTACTAGACACTTTTTCATTTGTCTAGTTCTTAACTAGCCTGCGTCCTGTTAAATGTTGTCCCTTAGCATTTATTTGTGTTGTATTTAAAAACAAAAAAACTGAAGTGCTCCTAGCCCTGCACAGTGACTGCGAACCAGCCCTGCATGGTGACCCTGCACGCCTGGCCTCCATGGTGATCCTGCAAGCCTGGCCTCCATGGTGACCCCATAACCCAGCCCTGCATGGTGACCCTGCACGCCTGGCCTCCATGGTGACCCCATAACCCAGCCCTGCATGGTGACCCTGCAAACCTGGTCTCCATGGTGACCCTGCAAGCCTGGCCTCCATGGTGACCCCATAACCCAGCCCTGCATGGTGACCCTGCACGCCTGGCCTCCATGGTGACCCCATAACCCAGCCCTGCATGGTGACCCTGCAAGCCTGGTCTCCATGGTGACCCTGCAAGCCTGGCCTCCATGGTAACCCCATAACCCAGCCCTGCACAGGGACCCTGTACCCTCAGACAGTACTCAGATTTGACTATCTTGTAACCAGTTCCTCAATAGCAAAAGGATTCACTCAAGCGTCATCTGCTGTGTTTCCATTCAATCTGGAACGTTCTTGGTCTTTCCTTAGCTTGTGACCTTGACACTTTAAGTTTACAGACCCATTTACCAAGTATGATGTCATCAGTGTTGCTTTATGCAGATTCTTCAGAAGCCACGCCTTGTTCTTCCTGCCCTTCAAGTGACATGAGTTGCACAATGATGCATTCTTGATGGAGTTAACTGTGTGGCCTGGTGGAGGTGGAGCCCCCGGCTTTTCCACTGGAAGCTGTGCTGTTTCCCTTTTTGAGTGTTTTGTAGGCAGTTGCTGTGAAACCTTGCAGCTGCCTCTTCTTTGTATTTACTTAGGTATTTATGAACGTGTTAGCGAGGATTCCTGTCTGTAACCCAGAAATCAACAGTTCCTGCAAGTTGCCTTGGCTCTGTACTGGACCAGATCCAGGGAGCCGGATGTGGTGATTTGGGTACTGCTGCTCTGAGGCACTTTGAGCAGACAGAACCAGGGATGTGTATGGTTTTACTTGTGTGTAATACTTGTGAACACATTTATATCTCTTATCTTTTGTCTGTGTATCAAAGGTTAGGAGTTGATGTATATGTCTGTCTATACACACATTCGCTAGATCTGTCCCTATTTGGGTATCATTAGATGTTAACATTTAAAAAAAATATTTATTTGAAAGGCACAGTTACAGAGAGAGAGAGGATAAGAAAGCAAGTGACATCTTTATCCTCTGGTCTCTGAGGAGCCAGGCCTGGGCCAGCCCAAATCCAGGAGCTCAGAAGTGCATCCATTGTTCCCATAGGGTTGGCAAGGGCCCCAGTACTTGGGCCATCTTCAGCTGCTTTCCTAGGTGCACAGGCATAGAACTGCTTCAGAAGCAGAGAGGCTGCGAATCAAACTGGCATAGGGGATGCCGGCTACTGGCAGTGGCGTCTTAGCTGCCAGGCTGGATGCCCACCCCCCCTTTTTTCCTATTTAATTATTTTTTAATTCTTTTTTGTTTGATTGCCTTTTTATTTCCAACTGCTTTGTTCTGTAATTATTATTTATTATTTTATCTCTTGTTTTAAATGTGTGGATTTTTAAATCAAAAGTCCTTATCAGACTTCTGCTGTATCTCAGGCATGACTCTTCCCCCCAACTCTTTACTCATTATCATCTGTCATAGCATTGGGTTACTTTGTGACTTTTGTTTGAGGGCTCATCTTGTTTGGATATTTTTTCTTTGTGGATTTCAAGTGCTGTGTCTATTCTATCTCTAGTTTGGAGTTTGTATTTTCACTGGAGGAAATGCAGCTTTCTGAACAGGTAGTGTAATTCCTGACCCCAGGCTGCACGTTAGACATGTTTGGCCTGCACAGTACTTCAGAGGAGTAGACCTGAGTGCAGAATGATGTTGTTCTCTGCCCCCCACAAAGAAGTGACATGCATGGTTGTGACCCTGAACTTGGCTGAAACTGACTTCACAGTTGTGTATTCCAGTTACAGTGTATCTCCCCATTTTATAATGCTTCTGGATTCTGTGGTCAGGAACACAGAGGGGCCCCCAAGGAGGGTTTGGCATTAATTCCCAGTGTCTCAGGCCTCAGGTAGAAATGCTTAAAGGCTGCTTGGCAACCAAACACTTGGATCCGTCTGAAGATCACACAGTCACCTTCTAGCAATTGGTGCTGGTTTGGTTGGGAACAGCCCCCAATAGAGGCTACCATCTGGCCTGTGGCAGCCAGTGCTTGTGGTTGCTTGGGCTTCAGCAGCACGGGGGCCGGGCTTCAGCCGCGAGCCTCCAGGAGAGCAGGCCTTTCTGTCATGTCGCTGTAGAGTCACAGATCCCATCGCACTGTCGGAAGTCACATTGTAAGAAGAGCATGGGTGTTGTAAGCTATAACTGCGGCCTTCTTTGGAAAAGATCTTTTTTCAAATTGGGAAAATGTGTTTCATTTTAATTAAATTTTATTTTTAGAATCTTTTTCTTAACAATGTTGAAATAAGACTTTTGAATTTAGTATAAGCCCTATTTTGTAATAATTTCGTGTGTTAAGATTTCATACTGGTGTTTTCCTTGAATACCTTTCATATACTACTTCCTATCAATTAATAACATCTTATAAAATAGCCTTTTTTTAATCACTGTTTTTCTTTCTCAGATAAAACTGGGAAGTGTAACATGGATTCCACGGGAGACTCACCAGTAAATCAATCTGAAAAGAAACAGCAGTACATCTGTTTGAAAGATGTAAATAAGGTTGTGTTTTTAAAATGCTCGTTTTATGCACAGTTTACAAAATGTTAATAATAATCTTAAAGATATGTTAGGAACCCAGAGCATGGTTTCCTTCTGTAAATCCTTGACTCTGGTGGTTGTGTTTGTGGACAGTACAGTATGCATGTTTGTGTCTTCTGAAAGAGCTCCGCTCCCCTTCTACCAAGTTCTTACTGATGGTGACTAGTGACCTCGCTGTAAAATTAGGTGTTCTTATTTTAGCAAGGCCATGAAACCCTGCGATTTGGGACACTCTCAATAGTTTATCTCAGGATGAACATTGGGGCTCAGCTAGTTAAGCCCTTGCCATCAGGGGAATGGTGAAGTGGTTCAACAGGCTAATCTTCCTCCTGCCAGTGTGATCCTCCTGCATTGGTTCCGGTTCTAGTCCCGGCTCTACTACTTCCCATCCACTTCTCTCCTTACGGCTTGGAAAGCAGCAGAGGATGACGCAGGTCCTTGCTCCATACACCCACATGGGAGACCTGGAGGAAGCTTCTGGCTCCTGACTTTAGATCAGCTCAGCTCCAGCCATTATGGTCACTTGGGGAGTGAATCAGCGGACAGGGATGGAATATTTCTCTTTCTTCTGTCCTTTTCTGTAAATCTTCTTTAAAAAGAAAGAAAAAAAAGGAAAGAAAGCCTGCTGCCTTCAGTGCTGGCATCGCTTGGGGGCACCAGTTCAAGCCCCTACCATTCTGCCTGAGAAAGCAGTGGAAGGACGCCCAAGTCCTTGGGCTTCTGCTTGTGCCCACATAGGGATTCCAAATGCAGTTCCAGGCTCCTGACTTTGGCCTGGTTCAGTCCTGGAAGTTGTAGCTAGTTCAAGAGTGAACCAGTAAGGGGAAGATCAGTTTCTCTCTCTCTATCTCTAACTCTGCCTTTCAAGTAAATTTTTTTAAAAAGTGTTTTTCAGATCTAACTGCCCTCCAATACGTTGGATGAGATGGGTAAAAATCATTGTTTGACATTGTAAGTACTGTGACAAATATCTGTGGTCTTAGATGCCAGCCTCCTGCTCTTCATTCTAGTGGCTGCGACAAGGCCATATTCTATAACCATGCAACTCTTGAGGTGTTTATCTCTGCATACCATTGTGTATGTAAAAATTACATGGTTATGCATGGTTATGCATGATTCCTGTTGGATTTTGGTTTAAGCAGAATTACACATACACATATATCTTGCTGTCACATGTATTCTTTGTTTGTTTACAGTGTTTTGAATCTTCAGCATACTGGCCAACTAAAAGAGGACTCACCATATATGCTGATCCAGATATCCCAGCAGCAAGGTATGATTTGAAAGTTCACTGTGATTGGCTAGAGCCTTGAGTGTAATCTGTGTGGGGGATTGCTTCCATGAAACATCCATCTCTCCTGTAAAATGATACAGTGTGTCCCTACAGCCCAGGCACATCCCTGGGAACGAAACCGCCTCCGTATGAGTTCTGATACCTAGCACACATAAATATTACTCACAAATAGGTGTTCGACTTTATTGTTTGGGGAGTAATCACAAAGGAAAGGTACATGTGCATGTTCAGCACAAACAGACTTTTTTTCTGAGTGTTCTTGATGTGTGGTTTCTTGATTGCACAGATGTGGTACTTAAGGATATGGAGGGACCAGGGTGTGGCACTGCAGGTTAACGGTTCGGACCTGGTCTTCCAAGGTGGCGTCTTGAATGCTGTATCCCCTGCAGGGAAGGAACACTGCCTCCCCCACCCCTCCCCCGCCCAGTTGTCCCAGTTGTCCCCAGTTGGGTGGAAGGAAGATTTCCCCCAGTCCCCTCTGAAGTGATGTTGGTTCTTGTATCTCTCGGGAGGTCTCAGCCCCAGGGCTACTGCGTTGGGAATGAAAGAGCAGAGAAAGCGTTCAAACCGTAGTGGGAAATATTCAGCCATTATTCTACAGGGTTTTTTTTTTTTTTTTTTCATCTTCTTCAGTCTTTTGTTTTGAGACTGTGACAGAATAAACTTCGGAAGTTTCAGTAACATCCTGAAGGTCCCCGAGTATCTGCTCGTTTACAACTCTTCCCTTGTGGTTCTTCAGATCAATAGTTCTATTCATCTGCAAATTAATTGGTTTCCACTCACTGTCTCTATGTTGCTGCTGAGCCTGACCAGTGAATATTTGGTATATTGCACATTTTCCTTTGGGAGTTGTCTCCTTTCCTCTTCCTGTGCATCTCGGGAGTGACTGCCTGGGTTCTGGTATTAGATGGTTCCCAGGGTGCCTTGTCTTCCACATGCTCAGGCTGCTGGGATAAGTTTTCCCTGAGTTGTAGGTGGCTGTGCTGCTGTTTCATTGCTGCAATAGCTCTGACATCAGAGCTGGCCTTGTCGCCAGGTGGGCAGAGGAGGATTCCCCACACCAGGCAAAAGCAAGAGGGGGCGTCTCCCAGCTTCTGATGTCTACACTGTCCGTGGCTGAGGCTCCCTGGGTCATCCCCAAAAAGAGAGAAAGGAAACAAACCAGGAAACTCTCCAGGGTTTTTTTTTCCCTTCTTTTCCGTTGGTTCTGGACATTACCCAGTGTCTAGCTGTAGTGGGTAGGAGAGCCTGTAGTGGGCTTATGCCACGTTGACAAGCACCCCCCTCAAAAAATGTTTGTGTAGTCATTGGCTAAGCAAGTTGGATCAGAGACCACACCAAATGCAGAGACGTTAAAGTTTAGAGGCTTGATTTACCAGCTGAGAGAGAGAATGGGCACATGGCAGCCACACAGCACCTTGCTGGAAGACTACTGCGCTGAGCTGCTAAAGCAGTTTTGAACACTTAGACCCCATCCTGTTTGACACAGGCCTCCAGGGTGTGTCACAGCCATCAACCCATAGTAGTCAAGCAGGAGGAGGAGGGTGAGCGCAGCGAGCTGGCTACAGAAGCAGATGGCAGTGGTTGAGGGAGCCGTGGCAGCTGCCAGGAGTGCCAGTTGTAAACCCTGTGATCCAGGAAAGGCCCATCAACTCAGGACTCCTCTGTTCCAGGCAGTTCTCAGAAGTCAGATGGGGCTGGGGTCACAGAGAGCATGGGGCGGGGGTGATGGGGTGACCTGAGTTAGTTTTCTTTTGTCACTGTGTGTTAGCAATGTGTTTTGATTTCTAGTGCTTCAAATCCGAAACCAAGTGAGAAGCCACGTCGACTGACTGAGAAGAAGGAGTGTGATGAGAGGAATGGCTGTGTGAAGTAAGAGCTTTTGTTTGACCTGAATTGTCTATTGAAATAATTGTAATAAAGCTGTAAGGAGGAACTGGTATATTTTATTATTAATTTCAGAAATGTCTGCACAGCCGAGCTTGGCAGGCCCTGAGGTGCGTGTTTAGTTTCCTGATCATGGGCTGGACTTTCCTGTTGAAAGCTTTGTCCCAGACTGTCATTCTTTCTCCCCTGCCTGGTTGGGTGAAGGGTTTTTACAAAATGAAGGACATGAAAGATGGAGCTGTTGACTCTGCGTTGATGTTTGTCACCTCCCAGTTTTCTGAAGTTAAACAAGTCTCCCATCTGCTGGAGAAACTGTTGGCAGCACAAATAACCTAATTATATGCTTGGGCCACAGACGTCTTCCATTTCTTCCTGCTGCTTCTCCCCTTCCTCTTTCTCTTATCATTATTACTATTATCATTTTTATTACCACCATGCCAGCATAGATGGGCTTACACTTGAAATAACCAATAACAGGGCCCAGCACAGTAGCCTAGTGGCTAAAGTCCTTGCCTTGAACGTGCCAGGATCCAATATGGGCTCTGGTTCTAATCCTGGCAGCCCTGCTTCCCATCTAGCTCCCTGCTTGTGGCCTGAGAAAGCAGTCGAGGACAGCCCAGAGCCTTGGAACCCTGCACCTGTGTGGGAGACCTGGAAGATCTCCTGGTTCCTGGCTTTGGATCAGCGCAGTCCACTGGCCATTGCGGTCACTTGAGGGGTGAATCATCGGACGCAAGATCTTCCTCTCTGTCTCTCCTCCTCTATATATATCTGACTTTGCACTAAAAAAAAATAAATCTTAAAAAAAAATAGAAACAGCCAATAGCAGTGGCTGTCCTGGAGCTAACAGGGTAACAGAGAAGATGGTTGGGAAGTGGCTGCATCCTGGGACATCTCTGTGCAGAGGAGGTTGAGAGGGAGAGCTGATGGCCCAGCTTCCCAGAGACCACACGGATGCAGGGGCTTCTGACTCAGCCGGGGCTCCTCACAGGATCCCAGGGCCAGACTCTGAAGCTGCCCTGGAGCCCAGAGATGTAGAGGCGGCTGTTAACACACCCAGCTTTATGTCTCCCTACCATTCGTTTTAAAATATAACCTGATAAAATAACTCTGAAGTATTCTGTTTTTACCTGTTGTATCTCCTGTCCTTTAGAGTCTGATAGTTAAATTATATGAGTTATTCTGGCAGTCTTCTGTGTACTCCCGGGAACACTGAGTGGTCAAGATCACCATCAGTGCCAGGGACAGAGGATGGAGGGCAGTGGGCTTCCTGGAAACCCCAGGATGCCCTGTGATCCTGCTGATCTCAACCAGAGCAAATGATCAGAGACTGGCTGTGTCCAAAACCTAGGGAGCCGTGTGCCTGCTGTATATGGCCTCGTGGTGAGGGCAGCCTGGAACAGACACCCTTTCCTCAAACGCGAGCAGCCTGCAGGTGTCACATGTCCGCAGGTCTGATAGTACTAGGGTTAAGAAAAGCCACACAGGGACTTTGGCGTGTTGCCTGCAGTGCTGCCTGCTGTGTGAGGATCACCTTGAAGGGCACATAGCCTCTTCTGTTTTTTTTTTTTTTAAGATTTATTTTTGTTGCAAAGGCAGATATATATAGAGAGAGAAGAGTAGAGGCAGTAAGGAGGATTTTCCGTTCAGTGATTCACTCCTCAAGTGACTGCCGTGGCCGGTGTTGCGCCGATCCAAAGCCAGGAGCCAGGAATTTCCTCCAGGTCTCCCACGTGGGTGCAGGGTCCCAAGGCTTTGGGCCATCCTCGACTGCTTTCCTAGGCCACAGCCAGGGAGCTAGATGGGAAGTGGAGCTGCTGGGATTAGAACCAGCACCCATATTGGATCCTGGCGCGTTGAAGGCAGGGGCTTTAGCTGCTAGGCCACGCCACCGGGCCCAGCCTCTTCTCTTTGAGGGTGGTTGCCTTTTTCTCTCTGTTCCTGGCACTGAAGGTGTTGTTCAGCCTGTAACAGCCATCATGCCATTCTATTTCGCTCACCTAAGGCTTGTGTCCTTTGCACATAACTCATTGGAAACCTGCACATTATGGTTGAGCCCAGGAAGCGGGACTGTACCCCGGCTGTCATTTGGCATCCTTGACCCTGAGTGGCAGGGAGAGTGGCAGATCTGTTCCAGGGCCAAAGGGCCCGTGCATGGGACCGGAAGCTTCTCCCTTCTGCAGTAGACGAGCCTGCCTTGATTGAGCTCCCAGTGTACTTGCCAGCCCATTCTCAGCTTTGTTAAGGGCCCTTGGGGGTCTGCTTGGAACGGTATTAGTTTCGGCTGCGTTTTGGTTAGTAGCAGCTTTCCTCAATGTTATTTCAATGATTGTGTTGGTGCTGTGGCCAGGCATGCTGCGGGAGAGCGTTCACGGGTGACTGCGGTGCTAGTCCAGGTGCGGGAGAATGGGGAGGTGAACAGTTGGCCCCTGTATGTCATTTGTGAAACTTGATGTGACTCCATGGCACTTTTTCTTTCTTCCTTCAGTTAGTCTGTCTTTTCTGTGTCTCTTACTTACTCTAATATGTTCTTTGTTCTTCAGTTTTCTACCACTGAACATTGTCCTATTTTCCTGCTTTGTGCTTTCTGCACTTGGTTAAGATGGGAATTTTCTCTAAATATGTATGTTCCTTTTTTGAAGAGTTGTTTAAAAGGCAGAGCTACAGGGAGAAGGGGAGAAAGATAGAGAATAAATACATCTTTTATCTGCTGGTGCCATTGCCCAAATGGCTGTAACCTTGTATTCTGTGCCAGACTGACGCCAGAGTCTAATCCCATGCAGGTCTTCCCCATGGGTGCAGGGGCCCGGATGTTGGAGCCATCTGCTGCTGCCTTCTCAGGCCCGTTAACAGAAAGATGAATAGGATCAGAGACGCCAGGGCAGCACAGTGGCTCAATGACTTTATCCTCTGCATGTAAGTGCCAGCATCCCATATGGGTACTATCATGTCCTGGCTGTGCATGTCTGGTCCGGCTCTCTGCTAATGACCTGGGAAAGCAGTTGAAGATGGCCCAAGCCTTAGGACCCTGCACCCATATGAGAGACCCAAAAGAGGCTCCTGGATCCTGGCTTCAGATCAGCTCAGCTTAGCTGTCATAGCTATTTGGGAAGTTAACTAGCAAATGGCCGATTTTTCTTTCTGCCTCTACTTCTCTATGTAAATCGGCCTTCCAGATAAAAATGGGTAGATTTATATATACTTATACATATTATCTGTATTGTATATTATGGCTATAATATAATTGTATATTATATAACTACATTATATAATTTATATGACATGCTAATATATATTACATTATATACAACGTGTGTATGTATTACATATTTATATATACATATAATACTTTTATAAGTTTTATATAGTGTATTTATATGATATGTATATTATATATACATACATATACACACACATAAAGAATCAGAGAAGCTGAGATTCAAACTGACACTACAGTATTTGATGCTTGTGTTAAAGTCAGCCGCTTAACCCACTGCACCACAACAGTAACGCCTAAATACCTGTATTTTTCATAATATTGTTTCAGTGTCAAGGCTTCATTACCAAGCCCTATTAAAGCCTTACAGGCTAAAATTCACTTCACACAGGGGCTCTCAAAGCTTGATGCTGGGTACCTATGATCGCTAGCTGGGGCTCTCTACCGCAGTACACTGTGGCTGGTGACAACTCGGGCTCTCCGTCCTTTCCTCTGGAAGTCACTGTGTCCCTCCAGTTGGTGCCACCATCCTGCTTCCGGATTCTCAGGCGTGAGTTGCTTTGAGCTGTTGAGTAATAGAGTAGCGTCTCTTCTCTCAAGTTGCAGATTCTCTGCTCTTGCTTTTTGAGTGTGTGAACTTCTTTACTGGTGTAGCGTTGGATTCCCGTCTGTTGTCTGCACTGGGCTCCCAGTGTTTGCACTGGTGTCTCCGGGATGCCTCCTCACACCTGTCTGGCACACCCCGCCTGTGCCTTAGGCTCCTGTGTTCATCGTCACCAAATCCTGCGATTCTTGGTGTCTTTCTTAAGATGAATCTTCTTTTTCTAGTTCTCTAAGCTTCCACTTGCTTGGTTTATTTGCTTGTCTTGATGGAAAACATCCTTTGGTAGTTTCCTGCAAACGGAAACAAGAATGTTTTGAGAATTTCCCTAAGTGCTTAAGACAGGTGTTCACACTTGATCAGCAGCTTGAGTGTACACGCTCACTGCATTTCTACTTCATCCTCTGGTTTCTGGTTTTTATTGCCGAGAAAGCTACTTCCTTCTGATAACTTAGGTCAAACTCTTCCTTTTCTTTCTTTCTATGAGAAATAAGCCCCACCTGCGCCCACCTCCCCACTGCAGGATGGACTCCAGCACAGGAAGGGATGAGTAAGGCTTTATCCACAACCTGGCAAGGCAGGTGTCTGGTGGCAGGCACACCTAAGACGGGAGCTGGCACACAGGGCTTTTCTCCAGGTCCTTGTCAGCTGGACACGTAGGAGGAGGAGGAAGACTGGTTGGGTCTAGGAAATAGGATAGTACAGGATTAACTGTGGCAGTGGCCTTTGTACGTTAAGACTTGTTACAGTTACAGCAAGTGGAACCGTTGAGATTTTTTTTTCACTTTAAAAAATTATTTTAAAAAGTAGTTTTAAAACAAAGATTCATTCATTTATTGGAAAGGCAAATTTATAGAGAGAAGAAAAGAAAAAGATCTTCTGTCCACTGGTTCACTACCCAGGTGGCCACAAAGTCGGAGCTAAGCCTATCTGAAGCCAGGAGCCAGGAGCTTCTTCCATGTCTCCTGTGTGCGTGCAGGTTCCCAAGGCTTTGGGCCATCCTCTACTGCTTTCTCAGGCCACAAGTTGGGAGTTAGATGGGAAGTGGAGCAGCTGGGACACCAACCAGTGCCCATATTGGATGCTGGCGCGTGCAAGGCAGGGATTTAGTCACTTAAGCCATTGCACCAGGCCTGTTTTAAAACGTTTAACTGGAGGTGTATGTTA